ACGTTGCCTGCCCCCTCAGACAGGGATTTCTCATTGCTGTTTTACAAAACACTGATTCTTGATTGAAGAAGGGCCATTTCAATGACCGCCAGTGTACTTTAGAAGGAAGATAAGAGGGCAACATGGTAGATACCTCTAACCAAAGTAGAATGGTGCAAGGTGAAGCCTTGGAGATGTTTACTCAAAACAGACACATTTTCTGCATTTATTATTAATGTTTCAGAAAATACTGTTTTCTTCCAGGTATGTAAATTTCGTGTTCACTGGGGTGGCATAAGCAGGTGGGTGGAAAAGTGCCTGGTCCATTATGCATGACCATGAAAAGTACGGTAGTCCATAAACATACAGCTTCCTTCTCCAGTACACTTACCAAATCCGTTTCAGTTATTTGCCTGTTCCATGCTCAGGTGGCTGCAGCAATGGCTGCTCAACGGAAAGTACAAGAAAAGATCAGAGAAATGTAAACATTGACAATCTAACAAGAAGGCACTGTCCCCACTGGAAACTCATTAGGGGCAAGGACTTTGGTGCCTATAAATAGCCTTTGGAGGCAGGCATTTTCGTGGGCTGCTCAGGATACCCTGACCACGTGGACAGATCTGGATTGATGTTGCAGTGAGGAAGTGCTAAAAAGCCACATAATGTCGGGGCTGAAACCATTCCAGCTCACTCAGACTTCAGGTTTTCTGTGCTGAGATTCCATCGGCACCATGATTTGTATTCAGTAAGGGGTTCATAGGATACCCACAATAGGCTACCTGTTCCCTCCGAGGGTGCTAACCTAGTGAGGGTCGTCGACCACCTGATGAAAGTTCTAGTCCCACCCGATGCTTCAAGGTTAAGTCATATATTGTCCCCAGGTTGGGTTCAAGCAAGCTAGTTTGAAGTGTGGGGTGTGTGTGAAGTGACCAGGGACGTTTTCCGTTGTGTGGAGACCTTCAAGCGCTGATAGCTGTGCTATGCTTAATCTCAATCCTCATTTTCATCAGGAATATCTCATGTACGGCAACAAAATGGGGAGTCCATAGGAATGAGAGCTTTGATTTCTGGTTTTGACTCTTTTCTCAGGACACTGGTTGGAAGAGGTCTAACAAGCAAAAACAGGAACTTCTGAGTGGTGTGTTTTAGTATAATTGCCTCTTCCAGATTTTCTCAAGGAAAAAACATTTGATTTTTGGCATTTGGTCTTAGTATTAGGACAACTTACAGCCTGTAGGCAAAGGCTTTGCGAAAACAGGCATATTGATGCGTAAGGTTAGGCTGCCCTTTTTTCTTTTTTTTTTTTTTTAACTAGGTGAACATAAAATTTGGATTTAAAAATTATATTAATGCATTTAGTGACTACTCTTGATGTTTGGGACAATGGTGTCCTGAGTTAAACTCAGCAGACACTTCTTGAGCATCTCTTGAGTTTAGTGCTACAGAGTCAATCCCGACCTTGAAGAGATCAAGTCTAGAGAAGAGACTGTATCCTAATTTTTTTTTTAAAGTCTCCATATTAGAATGTCAAAATGTGAGATTGTGGCAAGAATTTATGTTTCTTTAAAGCTGTGAGATTTTATTTTATTTTATTTTTTTTAAATATTTTATTTATTTATTTGAGAGAGAGAGAATGAGAGTGAGCACATGAGAGGGGGGAGGGTCAGAGGGAGAAGCAGACTCCCCGCCGAGCAGGGAGCCTGATGCGGGACTCGATCCAGGGACTCCAGGATCATGACCTGAGCCGAAGGCAGTCGCTTAACCAACTGAGCCACCCAGGCGCCCAAAGCTGTGAGATTTTAGAAAGAACAGTTGGAACCCTGGGATCCTGGCACCTTTGACCTTTAAACTGTAGATCACAAGCTTTCCAAAGTAGTTTAAAGTTATCCTGCAATGGAGTCATACAGAACCGCAGGGATGCCATTGCATGCCGTCGAAGTCTCTCTGACTCTTTCCCTGCCTGTTGTGTGAGAATGTCCACCATCTCCGTTCCTTTCACATGGTCCTAGAAGTCTTCAAGAAGGCTCTCCCGTGTACTCCTACTACCCGTCCTTGGTTACTTGGTGGTGGCCACCATTTTGTTTCTTACTTCTCTAGCTCCTTGTAATGAATCTTCTTTCAGGATGAAGGTTGGTGCTCTCAGCCACCAAAGGCTCCCCCCAGGGCCACAGGTGCCAACCAACATGTATGGCCCTGCCTCTGTTGGCACCTCCCCAATTCTGGTGCTGCCACCCCCTCTGCCTACAGATACAGTCAACACCTTTCCTCTCCTCCCCTGCTTCGGGCCAAAAGGCTCTAAAACAAAACCAGAGCACACACCTGGATCCTGTTAGCAATCTGTTCAGGAGCCAACTAAGCAAGGAATTTTTGAGTCACAGCCTTTCTATCCCCCACTTTATATCTTTTTATTATTATTATTTTTTTAAAGATTTTATTTATTTATTCATGAAAGATAGAGAGAGAGAGAGGCAGAAGCAGAGGGAGAAGCAGGGAGCCCGATGCGGGACTTGATCCCAGGACCCTGGGATCATGACCTGAGCCGAAGGCAGACGGTCAACCGACTGAGCCACCCAGGCGTCCCTCCCCCACTTTATATCTTTCTGCTTGCTACCTCATCAAGCAGGAGAGGCCTGACAGTAGAAGCTCAATCCTTGCTTTGGACGCCCCAAGCCATGCCCCATTTCTGCTCTCATGTACCATCCTCCCTGGGAAGAACCGATATAAATCCAAAGAGATTGGGAGAATCTATTGTTAGATGTGTTTGTAATAAGGCACATGCCTATGCTCCCCAGACCCCTAAAATCAGCTCAGAGAAATATCCCTTTCTCCCTACAGTCAGCTCTGACTGCCAAGGAGAAGCCGATTTCCTGAGGCTGTTTGTCCCAGACCTTCCCATTCCCAGTGGGGGTCTGGGCTGCCTTGTTTTATTGCCTGCCTTAGAGAGAACAGTCTGCTTTGTCAACAGGTTAAGAATCCCAACCGTGCACCCAGCCCACAAAGCAGTTAGGAGCAGAGGTTTTGGTAGTCGGATCCTGATTCTGCTACTTCCTATCCAGGCTAAGGCTGTCCCCTTTTCTGTAAAATAGGGAAATCCCCATGCCAATGCGGAGCGCTAAGTAAGGTTATCTATGCTGTAGCTTTGACTTATAATAATTACTCAACTGTTGGGTTTGTTTTTTTTTTTACATTAAGGTGTATGGCGTAGTGTTACAACATGGCTTCCTCTCCAGCTCCGATTATCTGCAATCCATTTTCATTCAGCTGCTAGATTCATCTCCCCGGAACGTTCGTCTGTGTGAAAATGTGAGATGAGCTTCCTATTACTCACAAAGTCCGGAAGTCTTTCTCTCTGCTCAAGGCTTTGATCTGGCCCCAACACAACGTTACCTCCTTTTGTCCACTACTCCTCTTCACACATCCTCTGCTCCAATGAAAATCAACCAGCATTCCTGAAGTCCACCTGTGCCCTGTGCACGTTTGTTCTTTTATCTGGACTCCGGATCTTACCTCTTCTTCGTGCCTGGCTCAAGTGCCACCTCCTCCACCAAGCCTTCCCCAGCCCATAGTAAACCCCACAGCTCTTTATGGACTCTATGGATGAGGGGCATTTATTCCATGTCGCCACACAGTTATCTATGCAAACTTTGTGCTGCAAATTTACACATCCATCTCCTGCATCAGATGATGGATGATGGCATCTGTCTGATTCATCTTCATACTCCTAAGCCAGGGTTTCTCAACCTCAGCACTATTGACATTTTGGGCTGAATAATTCTTCGTTGTGGGAGATGTCATGTGTATTGCAGGCTATTGAGCAGCACTCATAGTCTCGATTTCCTAGAAGCCAGCAGCATCCCCTCACCCCAATTGTGACAACCAAAAAAGTTTTCAGACATTGCCAAATGTCCCCCAGTTGAGAACTGCTGTCCTAGATTGAGCTTGGGGGTCTGAACATGGATGATTCTCAGTGAATGCTTACGAAAAGAAGGAAGGAGTTTGGCTTAGGCCCTTTTAAACAGTAGTGAAATATATAATTAATGATATTCTTTCAGTAATTGGAAATAAAAGGATAGAGTTCCCATGAGAAGTCAGAACTAGAGATAGAGATTTGAATGTCACTAGCATGGAAGTTGCCAATAGGTATTTATCGTATAACGTAGTGCTTAGGAGTCTGGAGTCAGGTAGGATTTGGGTACCGATACTGGCCTCCCCACTGTGAGCTGTTACCGTGGGTATTTATTTCCTTATTTTTAAAAGATTTCATCCATTTATTTCAGACAGAGGTAGGGCGAGAGGTAGAGGGAGAGCACGAGTGGAGTGGGGGGCTGACTCCCCACTGAGCAGGGAGCCCAATGTGGGACTCGATCCCAGCACCCTGGGATCATGACCTGAACCGAAGGCAGACGCTTAACGACTGAGCCACCCAGGCATCCCCCATGGGTGAGTATTTAAACCTCTCTGAGCTTCAGTTTTCTCCTTCTGTAAAATGGGGATGATAATTGTAACCCACATGGAGCTGTTGTGAGGATGAATTAGGTAATGTACTTACAGGGCTTAGCAGAGAGCCTGGAACGTAGTAAGCACTAATATAGTTCAAAGCTATTATTAATATTGTGATTATTACTGTAATAATGATTCATTTCTAATCCTTTCAGAGGTTATGACAGTATTACTTCCATTTTATAAATGGGTTGTGGTTAGAATCTGGATCTTTTGATCTCCAACTTTCCCTGGATCATACTCATTTGACATAGCTCAAATGGAGTCATTCACAATAAAGTCTTCACTTCATTTGGAAACTGAGCCCTAACTGCCTACAGCAAAAATTCCTTTTCAATTGGTAAACACCATCTTCATCTGTAACTATCACTGGGAAACTCAGTGACTGCTTATTAAGCACTTTGGATAAGTAGATGCGCTGGATACTGGATATAAGACACCTGTGTTGCTAAAACAAAGCACCTGCCTGTTTGTAGATTACAAACCCACAAGCTCAAAGATTCTGTCCTTTAGCCTTGAAAAAATGAATTCATAAGTTTTGCAACGGGTTGGCATCAGCTCCAGGCAGCATTTGATATTTGGAGTAAAGCAGCATGAGCAGCTGCCTTGGCCCAGAGCAGAAGCTGGGACAGAAGCTCAGGACAGGACAACAGGTAGGAGGGGAAGCCAATTTCCTCCTGAGATAGCCGATCAGCTGAGCGGATCCATGCAGGCCAATCTACAGTAAAGCAGGATAATTCTCTTGCTTTAGAGACACCAGAGAGGTTAGGAAAACTTCGCTCCAAACCATTTCTATCACCAACAAACTGGCTGACTGCGGCTGTGGCGGGGCGGGGGCAGGAAGGGGAGCTCCTCTCCATACTTCTGTTTGCTCATCTGCAAAATAAGGGCATCGGATGAAAGGAGTGGTTCTTGGTGCTGCACGCCTTGGAGGCGGAACACTGTATTAGTGCAGATAGTGCAGGATTTTAGTAGCAATTACTAGCCATTAACAAAATGCTTGACAACTCATAAATACACCTGAAAAAAAAAGAGTTGTTTTTTTTTGGGGGGGGGATCACTTTCCGTCTCTGTTGTTTGATAGAGTGGATTTGCCCATCCATGTATTCAGTAGTTGAGCGCATGCTAGGTGCCGCGTCTGAACGAGAACCAAATACAGCCTTGGCCCTCAAATGGGGCTTACGTTTAACGAGCATAGGTTGGAGGAAGGGCTTGATGTCTTTTCTCCTCCAAATCCAAATTCCTGTCCTGAGTCTGGCCCGCCGCCCTTGCTCGGTGATGGAGATCCGTACCTCCCGCTCCTTCCCGCCGCGCCCGCTGGGACCGCCGCCCCCTTTCCCCGCGGTGGTCGGTCCCCACCCCCGCCCCCAGCCCCACCCCCAGCCCCACCCCCACCCGCTTCGTGCCGACGCGGGGCATCTACGCCGCGTGCCTTCCGATTCCTGCAGGTGGAGCCAGAGCCCGGCTGCGCGGCGGACGCTGCTCGCCGGGCAGCCCCGGCCGAGGCTCGCGGGCTCCCTCTCCCCTTCTCTCTTGTGCGGTCTCCCTCAACATCCAAACCAACCGAGTGCGTCTGAGGTGAAGTCGTGCCAGACTTGGAGACGGCTGCCAGCTCCCTCTCAAGTCTTGGCTTCACAAAGGAAAGCAAATTACAAAAATGGAAATGTTCAAACTAGCGTTCAGTGGTATTCAAATCGACGTTTGGGTAGCACGCAGGCACAGACCGCGTTCGTGCTATTTTGTGATTAAAATGATACCGAAAATACCTCCTTGCTTTGGTTTTCATCTGCTAAAGCGACTCGTGGCTTTCCCTCCTCGAATCTCCCCTCTGGGTGGGGAGCGGCCGACCCCTGACCGCTCGAGAACCGCTAACATTTGGACCAGCGTCTGCTGAAATCTTGCCCCTGCTGACTTTCCTAAAGAGTTGAACTTCTAAAATGCCTGCGCTTTTCAGCCTGGAGAGATACAAATGAAGTTTCTAGGTACTTCGCCGGCCAGTTCTGGGTTTGGTGGCACGAGCCACGAGCTCTGTGGTAGTGCCCGAGTCGTCTCTCCGCGCCCTCGGGACGCAAGGAGCAAACCGGAACGTGGGCTCGAGGGCTCCGTCTCATCCTTTTTTAACAGATAGTTTTAAATGGCCGTTGAGCTGGGTCTCGAATGGTTTCACTTACTGTGTATTTTTTGCAGTCGCCAGACAGGCCGCGTCCCAAGCGGGTTGGTGAGAAAGGCGCTTCCCCACCGGATCGTACCATTTCTTTCCTTGGAAGCTTTGCCCGGCTCCTTACACAGCTGTGTTTGCAGTGCCTGGAGACAGGTGGGGGAGCAGCCTCCAGCTGAAGCTGCCGGCTCCCTCTCTAAGGCCTGTCTGAACAGCTATTAAAAAAAAAAAAGTAAAGATCACACATGCACACACACACATACTTTATTTAGTTTTTTGGGTGGCGGTCACTCACTATGCCTGACTGCCGTCCAAAGGCAGCTGTCCCGGTTTGCCCGGCGAAGCGTCAGAAACGTTCTATTATCTGCATTCTTCAGGCCACATTGGCGTTGCCTTGGGCCACGGCCGTGTCTTTCTAGGTACAGTAAAAGCTGGGTCTTGTGGCCGTGGCCAAGCTCTTGGACTGATTATGATTGTGGGAGAGAGGACCACCCATCTCCACAGGTCAACCTCAAACTCTCATGAACACCGGGCAATGTTCAGGCGGTAGTCACATGAAGAGGTTTTGTTGATTTGGGTCTGTACAAATTAGAATTCTCTGTCTGGGTCAAGCGATAGCAGATAAATCAGACTAGACAGGTAGCGTTTTTCAGACTTCAGAATGGAAGGATGACTTCCAGTTTGGATCAGACACCCTGAGGGCTCTAGTCCTGAGTACCCAGTGTTCTTTGGGACCCTCATGCCTTGGCTTGTGCTGTTGCATCCTCTCAGACTATCTCCCCTATCCTCTTCTTTGCTTAGCAAACTCCTGTTTGTCCTTTAAGACTTGTCTTAAATGCAACCTCTCTGAAGTCCTTCATAGCCATGCCCATGGCTATGGTCCCCCACACCCCCGTAAAATTAATAATCCTGTCATCTGTTAAATATAACTCTATTGGGCGCCTGGGTGGCTCAGTTGGTTAAGCGACTGCCTTCGGCTCAGGTCATGATCCTGGAGTCCCGGGATCGAGTCCCGCATCGGGCTCCCTGCTCGGCAGGGAGTCTGCTTCTCCCTCTGACCCTCCTCCCTCTCATGCTCTCTGTCTCTCATTCTCTGTCTCTCAAGTAAATAAATAAAATCTTAAAAAAAATATATAACTCTATTGTTTGAGCTATATAACATACTGCACTGTATTAGACTTTTTTTTTTTTTTTTTTTTTTTGCCTCTTTCTCTCCTGACAATATACTCTTTGCAAAGGCAGGGAACACATCGTTTTTACCTCATACCCCTCATACTAAAAATGCTTAGGAAAATCTGTTGAATGAATAAAGAAACATGCTTGGTTTTTAAATATATTCAAAGGAGCAATTTTTTTTTTTCAGGTTCTCCTAGTTCAACAGCCAGACATCTTTGACCGTGTCTGTAGAGCTGAGAGTAAACATCTTAAGTTTATATTAAAGTCTGATTTTCCCATCTGAGAGACATTCTCCTGCTTATGGTAAGAAAAGTTTGATGTGCATGTAGGTGGAAAATTTCTGTATCCCCACCATCTGATTAATGCATCTGTTCCTACACAATCCAAGGAGAGCAGAATATCACTGCAGACATGGGAGTCTGTGGGAGTGATATAGTTCTCCTATCACTTTGGGGTACTCTTACGAGTTACGCTAACAGGTTGCTATTTATTAGACTTTATTCATTAAGTTGCTGAAGCCACAAACCTGGACGTGTGCTTGGAAGCTTCCTTTCCCTCAGGTCCCTTGTCCAGTTATCACCAAGTTATGTCACTTCTTCTCCAAAATATTGCTTATATTTGTTCATTGTTCTTCACCTCTGCCATTGTCCCATTCTAAGCCACTATCACTTCCCATCTGGACAATAGTCAAAGTCTTCTAGTTCGTCTTTCTGCTTCTTGTCTTGCCTGCCTCCCATCATGTCAACCCGTGGCCTACCACCTTTGAGTGGCTGCATAATCCTTACATAGTCTTAGCATAATTCTTCACATGACAAAGTTTGATCTGGCTCTCCCCTATCTTTTTAGCTTCTTTCTCGCTGAATACACTAGCCTTCAGATCCTTGAACTTGCCCAAGTCTTGCCTACTTCAAGTCTTATCTGTGTGCTTACTTCTCCTGGGAATACTCATCCACTCCCTTGGATTAGTTCTCATCTTTCAGAAATTGATTTCAATGGCACTTTCTTGGAGATGTGTTCCCTGCTTCTCTTCCCCACTCCATTTCTCCTGCTTATGGAGATCCCCATTTTTGTTCCTCCTGATGCTCTACTTTTTCTTTATGTTAGTTATCACATGTTTACAGTGATAAAAGTTATTGATGTTTTTATTCAATTTATGCCTGTCTTCCCATCCACAGTAGATCACATGAAGGCAGGGACCATCTCTCTTTATTCAGAAGAGTGCACCTGTGTACCAGTACCTAACACATAGTAGGGAGTCAAGAAATACTCTGGGTAGTGCTGCAATGAGAAACGCTAGCAGGTCATGTGTAACAGGCCTGGGACATGAAAATAGTTTCATGCAAAAAAAAAAAATCTGAAATGAGACTCAAAGATGTTTATGCACATGGAGCAAGCAAAAGGAAGACTTGAGTTATGATATGATATCCCACGGCCTTTCTCCACTGCTGTTTGAAAAATAAGAAGAGAACAAGAACAAAAATATTTGTTTTACAGCTCTACCAAGAGTCAGCCCTCCCCTACTCTCCCCCTTGCATCAAGTACATCCTGTACTTTTGGCAACATGTTGACTGGATATTTAAAAGCTGTGAACTGTTCTGAAAATTTCACATACTGGGTTATGGGCCATGTGTGTTTGATCAAAATTCAATTACTACACTGTACCATACTTGGAAACCTATCATCCCAAGTTATGAAGTATGACGAAATAGGCGAACCTAATTGGTTCAGTATGGGAACAGTATCAACCAACCTTGTTATGATAAATAGCTTCCTGTGTTAAAGGTTCTCTAGAGCTTATAAGTATCTTGGCTCACCTCCTTCAGTGGAATAAGAATATTGCTCCCAGGGACCCCCTAGATCACCGTCCCTCCAATGCAACAGCAGTTCAGAGTTTTCTTCAACTTACTGCCCCGGAAAAGAAAAATGCTGTGCAATTCTTCCTCTTCCTTTTCATTTCTTCATTTAGATTTGAGTACCTGGGAATTTCTTTAGCTTTATTTTTCTTTAGAAAAGCAATTTAAAAATTATAAAGCATTCCAAATACAGAAAAATAGACGAGGGGTGCCTGGGTGGCTCAGATGGTTAAGCGTCTGCCTTCGGCTCAGGTCATGATCTCAGGGTCCTGGGATTGAGTCCCGCATCGGGCTCCCTGCTCCTTGGGAGCCTGCTTCTCGCTCTGCCTCTCTCTCTCTCTCATGAATAAATAAATAAAATCTTAAAAAAAAAAAAAAGAAAAATAGACGAAACATCAGACATCCTTATACCCACCACTCAGAATTAACAGTAATTTTTTCCTATTTCCAGCAGATCTTTTGTCTGATGTTTCCTATGTGTGCTTTCTTTTCTTTTTGGGATCAAAGGTAGACTACCATGAATTAAAGTACAATATTGATGAGGTTTATCAATTAAGTGCTGACATACTTTAATACACTTGAATCAGGAGGATGTACATTTCATTACAGAGAAGTACCTGCAAGTTGTAAGTCTTTTCAGGTGTTGAAATGGATTCAGTAAGGATTCCTCGTCTGTATTGTAGATGAGATCATGAGGATCCAAAGACGAGGAAGGTTTTTGGAAGTGTGGGGAGAGAGATCAAGAAATTGTCTTAACAGTTTAGAAAAGATAAAAAAATGGGAAAATATTTCCATGCTTTGTGGTCATCATGGGCGTATGTACTCAATTTTTCTTTAGCAGTGACATTTTGGATTAGTTGGAAGTATTTCCTTCTGGTGTTCTAAGTAAAAGGCAAAACAACTGGGTGATAGGCATCTTAACTTCTGAAAGACAATCCATAGCATTGGCTTTTTCCTCAGAAGACAGCTTTAAGGCCAAAAAATTTGCATACATTTACCCTTAATTCAAGTCAATCACTTGTGGTTGCTTTCTCGTTTGCTCTCATTCACCATTTCTATGAGACCATCCTCCTTAACCTCTTCACAAAAAACTGGAATGCTAAATCTGCATTTCTCCCTCGGAAAAAAAAATTGTGCTCCATAAAAAGTTGTTTCAGTAAAAAAAAAAAAAAATTAGTTTGTCTTTGACAATAATTCATCAATCATGAGTGCTGCAGTACATGACCAAAGCCCAGAGAAGGATCCCTGGTGAGGGTAAATATGCATGCCCACACAAAGGGAAAGTGAATATACTTTGTGTGGCTGAGCAGTTTGAAATCACAACGCTGCCAAGATTAGATTAGAGATGTTCTTGTTTTCTGCAGTCCCATTAGGTTTACTTTAGAAATTGCAATTAGCTTAAAAGTTGTGATTTCTAAAATGACCCACTCGCCTTTCTCGTTTTCCCCTATCAGGTAGATGCGAGTATCGTAATCCCTACGTAATTTTTAAATAGAACTTCCAGCAAGAAGTGCTCCCTGAGAGCTGTAAACTTCAAGAAGTAGAATGTCACTGTAGGCACTTATGCTAATAAGGCCCTACATAATGTTTTTCACTTAACAAATGTCTGATTTTGGCAATCAGCTTTTTTTTTTTTGTATTGAATCTCGCTTGATTGAATAGTACAGGATTTGCCAGAATATTACTACAGTCTGTACAGTAATTAAGGAAATAGTTCTTGTCACTCTAATAGAGACCAGGCTCTGCCTGCCTGTAATAAAGTTAAATGATAAAGAATAAATAAAGGGAAAAATAAAGGGATGTCATTTGCTAGCATGTGGTTATTTCAGATGAACAGTAGGTATCACGCAGTGGAGTATTTTATAGGAAGTGTTGAAGAAGTTAACAAAAGGATATCAAATTTTCCAATTTAATGAAATAATCATTTTAGTAAAAGAAACTCTTCAATTTCTCTGTTTTGGAAAAGTTGATTTGAATTATTTTAAAACACAGCTTCACCAAATACAGGTGAAACCCTACTACAGTAAACATCAGTTTTAAGACAACAATTTTCTCAGTAATCACAATGTACACTTTACTATAGTAAAAATAGCTCCAAGCTTTGGAAAAGGCCACATTACATAGTTTGAAATAATGCTGACAGAAATAAAATTTCCCTTTTGGATTCACTGTGCCAAAGTGGGGCATCCCGGCTTCTCCCCTCATTGTCTCTGATTCTTTCCTGCCTCTCTGTATTTATCTAATTCGGCTACTATATGTCTTGTTGTTTCCAATACGGCTAAACAGAGCCTAAAGGCACTGGCAAATCTCTGAGTAAACCTCACCTGGAAGCCATGAAATAGAAAAATACAGTTTGGTATTTTTAGAAGGAATTGAAGCGAAGGAGTAGTGCTCTGCAAAGGAAAGAGGCAGCACCATATCAGCCATTGTCTTAAAAATTGCTGTGTTCTGTACTTTGGAAGGTCTGGCGCAGGGGTCAGCAAACTTTTTCTATAAAGGGCTGGTGTTTTGTGCCAGTCACAGCCTATCAATAACCAATGTTGTGGTTGTACCAGTCCTTGTGTGTGTGTGTGTGTGTGTGTTTAAGATTTTATTTATTTATTTGACACAGAGAGAGAGAGAGCACAAGCAGGGGGTGTGGGAAAGGGAGAAGCAGGCTCCCCGCTGAGCAGGGAGCCCAATGCAGGGCTGGGTCCCAGGACCCTGGGATCATGACCCGAGCCAAAGGCAGACACTTAACCAACTGAGCCACCCAGGCGCGCCAGCCCTTGTGGTTCTTATTAAAATTGCAAGATGCCCTTTGGCAACAACCATCAGGAAGCCTTGAAAAAAATAAAGACTTATTACTCACAAGACCTAGACATTACATAGCATACCTGAGGCCACACAGCGAGGTCCTGGGTGGGAGAGAAAGAGAGCCCATGGCTCTGGGGTTCTGTTTTAATTGAGGTCAAGAGTGGTAGCCTAGGGTTTTGTGAGCTCACTCTTTATTGGTTAATTAATTAATTAATTTTTTATTGAGGTAAAATTGGTATATGACATTATATTAGTTTTAGTTATGTGCACAACATAATTTGAGATTTGTATACACTACGGAGTTATCACTACAATACGTCTAGTTACCATCTATTACCATATAACTGATCCTCTTCAACCATTTCATTTACCACACAACCCTCTGTCCCGCTGATAGCCACTAGCATATTCTCTGTATCTCTGAGTTTCGTTTTGCTTATTTATTTGTTTTGTTTTTTAGATTCCACATATAAGGAAAATCATACTGTATTTGTCTTTATCTGGCTTATTTCACTTAGGATAATGTCCTTAAGGTCCATCCATATTGTTGCAAATGGCAAGATCTCATTCTTTTTAATGGCTGAGTAATAGATATAGATATAGATATAGATATAGATATAGATAGATCTATAGGTATATATCTATCTCACATCT